ATTCCTAGTTTTTTAAGGAATCTCCATACCATCTTCCATAGTGACTGTATCAATTTACATTCCCACCAGCAGTGCAAGAGCATTCCCTTTTCTCCACAGTCTCTCCAGCATTTATTGTTTGTAGGCTTTTTGATGATGGCCATTCGGACCGGTGTGAGGTGATATCTCATTGTAGTTTTGATTTGCATTTCTCTAATAATGAGCGTTGTTGAGCATTTTTTCATGTGTTTGCTAGCCATCTGCATGTCTTCTTTGGAGAAATGTTTGTTTAGGTCTTTTCTCCACTTTTTGGTTGGGTTGTTTGTTTTTCTGGTATTGAGTTATATGAGCTGCTTGTATATTTTGGAAATTAATTTTTGATCAGTTGTTTCATTTGCTATTATATTCTCCCACTCTCAGGGTTGTCTTTTCACCTTGCTTATAGTTTCCTTTGCTGTGCAAAAGCTTTTAAGTTTAATCAGGTCCCACTTGTTTACTTTTGTTTTTATTTCTGTTACTCTAGGAGGTGGGTCATAGAGGATCTTGCGCTGATTTATGTCATCGAATGTTCTGCCTATGTTTTTTCCTCTAAGAGCTTTATCATAGAATATTCAAGATGATTTGCCTCCCAGACAACCAACCGTGGTATCTCAACACAAAAGTTGGTTCTGGTGAAAATACATGTTGCCTTGATTAGTCCTTATAGCAACTCCATGAGTGAGGAGCTGTTTTCTCCACTTTCCACATAAGGGGACTAACATTTAGAGGGGAAATAATCTGCCTAGAGGGTTTCCCAGGTGGCTCAGTGCTAAAGAATCCACTTGCCAATGCAGGAGATGCTGGTTTGATCCCTGGGGTTGGGAAGATCTCCTCCAGGAGATCTTCTCCAGAAGGAAATGGCAGCCCACTCCAGTATTCTTACCTGGGTAATCCCATGGACAGAGGAGCCTGGGAGACTACAGTCCATGTGGTTGCAAGAGTCGGACCTGACTGAGTGACCAAACAACAACGATCCTCTTTGAGTCATCCAGGACGTTGTTGGAGGTCTGGGACACAAACACGCATCTGACTCCAAAGCCAGGCTTGTCACCCCTCTGCCCTTCACCTCACCATAGCCCAAGGCTGCTGGGAATAAAAGCAGTGTGCTGGCTATGGAATTGGCACTGGCATTCTGCTTCTCTTTACCCAAATAACCTTTGCCCTCTTCCTGACACATTTCTCCCTTGTAGCCCAGCTGGTCCATGATTTCTTAAAGCCAACCCTTCATTCCTGTCTTGGTAGAGACACTAGGAAGAAGGTGGCCTTGGGGGAAATTTAAACTGGACACACAGTGAATGCTGGGTTCCCTTAGAAATACATCTGCCAATACAGCTCATACCACCTAATGGTACCTGACTTGTCTTGCCAATTTTTATGGGCACCTCAGTGCTGCGGGCCACACTCCTGGTAGTCTGTCCAGGGAAAGACAGGAGAACTTCAGGGACGTGACTGTATAATCCCCTTCTAGTCCCTGGAATCAAATGAGTCCTTTAACTCTTCAAATACTGAACTACAAGAACTCGGTTTACAGAAACATTATGGTCCTAGGAGATCTAGGGACAGAGCTATGAAATTCAGTGAAGGTAGGGGTTCAACCCCCAGAACCAAAAGACTGCTGGGGGTTGGCTTGAAACTAGTTTAAATATAATCAGTGGGAAACACAAGCAAAATTCAATTTATAAAATTATTATTTTTGTTTAGGAAGATAGATCGTTTCAATTTTGCACAGAAAATTGCATGGGAAAAAACCTCTCAGTAGAGCCGTTTAAAAGCAATTGAACATTTTTAATAAGGCAACTCTTTCAGATTCTCAACTATTTAGCCATGACATCTTAAAATTCAACAAAATTCTGTTGTCAAGAAATGCTGCTTTACCAATTTTATTGTCTGTTTAACAACCCAAGAATATTAACATTCTTTAGAGACCTAAATTTAATCATAATGACAACTATTGAGCGTCCTAACTGCCCTTCATGTAATTTAATGCCTATAAACTATCAGTTTGCCTTTCTGATATTTTGTCTCAAAATTGTAAAGAAGGTCAATTTTACCCAGCAGCCTGCAAATTTCTAAGCAATTTTTGTCTTGTTCCCAAGCATACATTTAGAAACTTAAACATAATACATTACATGATAAATAAGAATCCTTGAGAGGTTTTGCATTTCATTCATCAACAGTTCTTCAAAGGATGTGAGGGGACTTAGTCCCATCGTCTAAGTGCTGAAAACAGTTTCAGCAGTGGTGACAAAGCCAAGGAAGTCATGAGCCAGAGGGGAGGACCAGTTTTCCTTGCTTTGACATTTCTCTCTCAAGAGCTGTGGAGAGCACAGTGGACTAGTATTTGGTGGATCAGGGCTCTGGGCTACTTTCCAAAACCAAGTTGCCTTTCAGAGGCTCAGATTTTTCCTCCCAAAGGTCAGGATAGTCATAATACTGACCTCATGAGATTTCAAGAGGATTTAATTCAACCGAAGAAAGGGCTGTCAAACCAAAATCTTCCCCTTTAAGAAAGTCTTAGCACCTTTAGAGTTGCTTCTCTGTGTACCTATTCTGATCAGGAGCAAAAATACAACTTTGCAGCATAATCATTTTGCTGTTTAAAACCACCCTTTTCCATTACCATAGTTCAGCCATAAAATGTTTACCTTCGTCCCTGAAAGTTAGAAAAACGTGCCGATAAATCAACGCAAAACCACCCCACTGCTAGAAAAGCAAATTCAGCAGTGACAGGTCTATGGACTGTGTCTTCTTGGCCACTGTCCAATGCAGCCCCTTAGGCAAGCTTCTTATCCCCCCCACAGCTTTGTTGTTCTGATGATAAGCTCATCCTTGTACATACACTTTGACTTCTTATTTTACTAATCTGCTATCTCCTGCGTTAGAAGGTAAGCTTCATGTAGGTAGGAATATTTGTCTGTTTCATTCACTGTCATATCCTTTGCACCAAGAATGATGATTGACATACAGAAAAATGAATGAATGAATAAGGCCGGGTCATGACCATCATTTAAATGCTCATACATCTGCAGCCAAACGAAGTGTGGAAACTATTAGAAATGATCCATTAAGACTTATGCTGCTTCTAATGTTTCAATTCTGATATGTCAAAGTCCATAAAATAATTTGGTTATTTTAAAATATCTTCTACCACTGGCCTTGTCAACAGTGTCTTATTCAAGTTATCTTTGTCCTTTTCATTTGTATTCTGAGAAGGAGTATAACTCCCATGCCTCAGATATTAATCTTAGATTTACAGAAAAAAATACAAGCCATATTGAGGGAGTTCTAGAGAGTGAATTTTATGTCCCTCCCAAATTCGTATGTTGAAACTTAATTCCTGATATGATGGTATATGGAAGTGCAGCCTTTGGAAGATGATAAAATCATCAGGATAAAGTCTTCAACAGGATTAATGCCCTTGGAACTTGAGATGAATATACATATACTACTATATATAAGATAACCAACAAGGACCTATTGCAGAGCACAGAGAGCTCTATTCAAAATTCTGTGATAACCTGTATGAGAAAAGAATCTTAAAGAGAATGAATATATGTATGTGTATAATTGAATCATTTTGCTGTATATCTGAGACTAGTACAACATTGCAAATCAACTATAATGCAGTAAATTTTTTAAAAAGAGAGACCCTGAAGCACTCTCTCATCTCTTCTCCTATGTGAGGACAGAGTGAGAAATCAGCTGTCCATGAACCAGGATGCAGGCTCTCACCAGGCACCAAATCTACCAGGCCCTCACACTGGACTTCCAGCCTCTAGAACTGGCAGAAGTAAGTTTCTGCAGTTTACAAGTCCACCCAGTCTCTGGTATTTTGTGACAGCAGTCCAAAGAGAATAACACAGGGAGTCCCTCACCTCCATTGGAATTTATGTGTAAATTTCAAATTTACTCCCCTATGCAATTACTCATCATTTACTGTTCATAAACTTCCACTGCGGACTCCATTGCAAGAAACCAAAGTGTGATTATAAACAGTACTATTAATAAACAGGCAAAAACATTCCTTTACCACCCTCTGTTCCCACAGCATTTGGGAGATCTGTCAAATTATTCTCTGGCAGATTGGAAAGAGGGGGTTGTGTTAGAAGTCATGACCCAATCGCTAGTGACGCTGTTTCCATATTTTACAGTCTGGGAAGCACTACTTAGAAAATTCTAGTTTTGTTCACTCACTGTAACAGTAGAGGATGAGCCTGCAAGGATCTTTAAAGAGAAAGAACCAGTGGAAATGCAGCAGAAGACCTGAAAACCATGATGGTGGTACTTTCCTGAATCTCTGAAAGGGGCTTTCCTCCACCTTTATACAATCACACAGAGAATGGACAAGGCTTGGCGATAGATGAAACAGATACATCTTTCTGAATTTAATTTCCTCAGGTGTCTGGCTCCTTGTGTTTGCAGCACACTTCATTTTGCAGGATTTTCCTAAATAAAACTCTGCACTTTGCGTATACAGGAAGAAACAGAATGTGATTCTATTTTTATATCCAGAGCCAGTGCAAACACTTAATGTTAGACACTGTTGAAGAGAGTTTAAAATGATGCAGATGGTGGCGGTGAAGGGTCTTCATATCACCCTGGCTCAACAATGATATTGCTGCTTCCTTTCTGACCTACACTTGGCCACTTCTCCTGCTCTCAAGAAATTTTCCAGACAAAGCCCTGTGATTGGCTATCCATGAGTTTGAGATGTGAAGGCTTTAAATTTATCTTGTCTATTTCCAGAGAGAGAGACGCAATGTAGACAGAGAAGGAAGTTCTGTCTGAAGACATTTACTTCATCTATAAACTCTAAATTTGTCCCCAAAATGTGCGCATATGCTACAAATACATTTATTTCTCTTTTAATTTCATTACAGAGAATCTTTGGTGCTTTGACATAGACCAAGTGTTTATGGCAGGAAAAGTCAGCTTGTAATGAATGACATTATCATTCATAATGTTCACAGAAAGGCACTTACCAGCACTGACAGTGATCGCCTCGATGAACTGCTCTCTCCAGCTGTTCGTCCCAACCACCAGGGCTAGGTTTGTCTTCTTAATCAGTTTGTCCACGGTACTCTAGAAAGGTTGAAAAGAATCAGATAATAACGGCTGGGTTGGTTAAGGCCTCAGGAAATCTCAGACCTGGTTGATTTTGAAACCCCAGAGTTATATAAAGGGTAGCAGATGTTAGGCTTAGAACAACAGTATTGACATCAAACACTGTTATGTTTATACAAACAAGCACAGTCCTGACTTGGAAACATCCTGAAATGGAAACTTCTTTATAGCAAATACAAGCCTCTTTCAATGCCTAAGGGCCAAGGAAGAATAGCCTCAGTGGTTAGAATAGAGGATGTTGCAAAGCCCATCCTTTCCTCTTGGAGGCTTCATGAACTTGCTTCTCTCCTGGCTTCATCTAGAGTGTGCTGTCTGCAACTGAGTTTATCTATGCCCTGCTCAGCATTATCTATCAGTGAACATCCAGAAGTGGCAGAGAGATTACAAAATTAAAATCTATTCTTACTATATTTTTGTTGATCAGTGAAATGCAGCCAAACACCAAGACTGCTGCTGTATGATCATCAATAAATGGATTTTTCTTTGGCTTCTATGTAAGACCAGTGGCTATTAGAGAATTCATCTCACCTGACTTCTGTTGCAAATGAAAAAAGCCAAGAAAAGGTCAATTTGTGTGGTTTAGGGCAGTAGCCCCTAACCTTTTTGGCACCAGTTTCATGGAAGACAATTTTTTTCCACAGACTGGGGTGGGAATGGTTTTGGGATGAGTCAAGCACATTGCATTTATCATGCATTTATTTCTATTATTATTACATCAGCCCCATCTCAGATCATCAGGCATTAGATCCTAGAGGTTGCGGCCCATGGTTTATGGTACACTGCAGTGACCTTGCACTAAATTTTCCACTGCTCTACTAATACTGAGTCACTTCTTCTTTTTCTTCTTCTTTTTTTTAAGACTTTTGTTTTAAGCTTGGTTCTGTACAATTAGCACTCTTAGCTTTCCACATAAATGTCAGTTCATGGAACAACAGGAGCAGCCAAGAATTCACAAGAAAACTAAGGAAGCAGATGCACCCAAAGCACTACCACAAATCACAGCAACTGCAAGGAGAAGGGTCACTTCTGGGACTTGAGGCCATTCTTCCCAAAGAGACTACCACCCGACTAGTCTACCAGACGCCCACACTTACTGTCAGAGCTTCCTCGAATTCCCACTCATTGCAAAGAGGCAGAAAACACATATCATGTGTCTTAGGTCAAAACCTGTACATGTTTAAGGCAGTGTCCCTGAATTGACTAATGTTTGAGAGAGAAAGAGATCATGTTATCAGCTAATCAAAAGGAAGGGAAATATGATCTGAAGGGTCCATCCGGAAGGCCAAAGCCACATCAGAATGTCAAGTATGGTAGTACAACTGTCACTGGCACTGAAGCAAAATATTCAGAGGATAATAAACCTGAAAGGGCCCATCTCCAACTGGCCCACTCTGTACTTTCAACATCAGCCTTTGCCAGGTTGTTTCTCCTTAGGGTGGTGACCTTTCGGCCTCCAGCTTTGTATCTACAATTGTTAGTGCCCCTGATAATAGCTGTCATCATCAGGACTGCCGTAACTAGAAGCACATGACAAGCCTCTGACTTTTCTCTCGACTCAGCCAATCTTGTTAAGTCCTCCAAGTGTCATGGTTGATGCCGATTCAAAATTCTCTGTAGAAGGTAACAAGAAATGACCTTGACTTTTCCTAAATATGATGGAAACTTGTGACAGGTCTCTCCAAAGGAACCCTCTTTATTCTAAAACCAAGGCTGAGAATCCCATCACCTGGGGGATGAGTAACTGACAAGAGAATCTTCTCTAACAGTTAAATACCTCAAACAATATTGCCTCAGGAATGTCTCTAAAGAGCTAAGTTTTAAGATAAACTAAACTTGAAATGTATATATATATATGTAAAACCTCAGGTAGATCATAAACTTTAGTTCAGGTTAATCCTAGGGGACTATGAGATAGCTTGGGTTCTTCCCAAGACTTAATTTACATACATGCCCTCTCTTGACCTATAGGAGGAGATGAAAGAATAAGGTGAATTTGAAATTTTATACTTGAGCATTCCCATCGACAATGGCCTGGAGATTTCCTAAATGTCCATTGTTAGCTCTTCACTGCACTAGACTGTGAGCAATTGTTTTAACCTCACCCTCAGTCACGGGTGTTAGGAAAATCCAGTACTATGTCAGAAGATAGTAAATAAGAACCCAGTGGGCAAAGCAGGTCTGAACATTGTCAGATGGGACCCCAGATTTGGGTCTTTAATGCAGTTCTGAGGGTTCTGAACAAGTTCTTTAACACAGCTATGGTCTAGAAAAAAATTCTTAAGAGAATAAAATGATACCAACATTAATACTTGAGGGCACTTCAGAAACATAATCCAAGGTGCCCTTCAGTATTGATAGCAACCATACTGATGAACTCTTGAGGACATGGGAGGACATGTCCTTTGGAAACTATTCTAGAAAGATAAGTATTGCAAACAACTAGACTTACGGAGAGAGTGTTGGGTGACTTTCAAATGCTTAGATCATTTGGTGTGGTTACCAGAAAGAGCTCTGAACCCAAGAAAGTTTTGCTGCCTAGAAGACTGTGCCCTGCCATACTCAACCCAATTCTTCCTACAGGAAGTGACTGAGATTGCTCTTCCTGGTCATGGGTGCATGGAAGGGGAAAGCTCAGGCTTGTTCCAGAAGAGAGAGGGCACAAAATAATTCCCAGGCAAGTCCTGGGAGGATGGGGGAACTAGTTTTACAGAAATGCCAAGCTGTAGAGTCTCTGCTGCCTCGAGTGGCAGGTGAAAAGGGGGTGCATGAGGAAGAGTGAAGATGGACACCTGAACAGAGTGGTCCACAAACGTGGACAGGTGGAGATATCTCTGTCTCGGGAATCTCAGGGAACATGTGCACATGTCAGTCATGGTGTGTGCAACTGGCCAGGTTCCAGATCAAACAGCCGGTGGGTTCTGATGGTCGGGGTCTGCCTAGAAAGTACTGGTCCCAGTGTTTATCCTGCTCTTTCTGTCGGAATGGCTGAAAGAATGAGTTAACAGATATATCCCTGGTGGTCTGAAGGGGAAAGTTTAATTGCATCTTTATCTTTTAAATGCCACTTTAATTTGCACAGAAATGTTTCTTTCCACCTATCTCCTATCAGGCACCTTCCTTTGTGAACTAAATTAAAAAAAAAAAATAATGAACAGGCCCAGCAAAAGGCAAAGAAGTCACAACCGTGAAAACTCCAGATGCAATCCAGAGGGCTCTGGTTTCTAGGTTGGTGGCCTGATTCTCCCTTTTGGATTCTTCATTCTGGTCTTCCAAACAGAAGCAGAATCTGCTTTTCAAAAATAAGTGGGGAAAATGCTGCTGAGCTCTGGTGTGTAGTTCTGGAAACCTTCACACATCCCACTGAAGAATGCAGGTGCACCTCTACTGGGGGGCTTCTAGGAGGGAGGACCATGTGAGTGAGATGGGATGGGAGTTGGGATGAGGGCTCAGTAAGTAGCTAAGAACAGATGGAAAGTTTCCCCTCAAAGTCCTAAGCTCACCCTAAGGTCCATTTGCTTAACTTCTGAAAAATGACTTTTCTCATTTAGAGAACTAGAAATCTAATTTTTTGTCTGATGACAAACTCTCTGGTTATAGGCACTCTAACTTCAGCTTGCAGATTGTAGTCAAGTGTCCTAGGATCTTGAGAAGATGACTACATATACATGAGAGCTTATCAATCGCATGTTCCACGGGGAGAGCTTACCAACCTCCCTCCAAACAAAAGCCTCGTTTTTAGCAGTGCCAAGGCTTTGCTTCTACCAGATTGACTAGCTCTTTCAAACAAAGCATGGTTTCTTCCACAGATAACAGTCTCTTAGAGCCCATCTTTGGCTCTCCTTGCTGTCCTCTTGGACAAAACCTCCCTTTAGGGCACCTCGGATCCTGTTAGTGATCAGGGTCTGAACCAGAACCCCAGACCTTGGTTCTGATGCTATTTAGTTTACAAGATCCCTGAGTTCCCTACCAACTCTCGAATTCCATTTCTGCTCTGATGGTCTGTCCATCAGTGAGCCAGTTCCTCTCTCTGGACAGATCATCCAGCATAGACTGACCCTATGAACTGTCTGGCCTTCCTGGTGGGCAGTGCTGATAAGCATACCTTGAACTCGTAGGATTCTTCAATGATCACCTCCAGTCTGGTGTGCTCTCCCAGAATGGGGCGCCCCATTTCCGCAATGCGCCTCTCTTCCTCCTCTTTGCTGGTCAGTGGCTGCTTGTCATCATATTCATCTGTGAAAGGGAAGGGCAAGAGATTGAGGATGGACTCCATTTTATTTGGAAATCCCTGGATCCTGGAACAAGGACACCAAGAAGGAAGGAAGTCCTGATGACCTACTAGAAGTCTCTGGGGTGATGTTGCAGGGAGGGCAGAACTGGACAGATGCCTGACCTGTGGGGTCAGTGATCACTGTGACAGCAAGTGATCATAACATCCCACAAACTAACCACCAGCCAAAGAGCTGATCAGGAAAAGCAACTGATAGGATCATATCCCGGGGAAAACTCTGCCACAGGGCGTCTCTAATGAGGGAATCACCCACATGTTCCCTAGGATGCCGCTTCCCCTGGCCATTTGTACACATCCTTTTAGCACATGACCAAGAGGAAACACAGTTAAAGCTGCCAGGTGAAAGAATCCGGTCTCCTCCTCTCTACTTTCAAGAGGCAACAGAAAATGCCCCAGGGGCAACCAGATGATAGATGGGAAATTCTTATCTTAGCCTCTTATTTGCCAAGAGTCTCTACTGCAAGTTAAGAAGCTAAGCATCCATGCATTCCATTTAGTAAGATGCCTGTACTCCAGGGCTGTCTCTCTGGTGCAAAGCTGATGGGTTGGGAGGACCTTGATCACGTTAACCTTAAAAGAAGCAAGGAAGAGGGAGCGTGAGGCCTTCAGGGAGTGACTACTACTCACCATGGAGGCATAATTATTTCCAGAACTACCAAGCAGTTTACACTCCAGGAGAAACTAGTGGGTACTAAGAAAATGTTAATGGACTTGAGAGTCCATTAATGAGGGGAAGCTCACAGTTGGTTCCTCTCTGTGTGAAGGTCATTAGGACAAATCCCAGACTTAAAAGGCCATGCACACGTGAAGGACAGACACTCTTCCTATAATCACTTAGCCCCCTGTCCTTCAGGCTCCAGATGTGGAACAAGACAGGCCGCTTCCCCTCCCAGTTGAGCTGAATGGACCTCATTGACAAGGATCTAGTATCGGTGGTACAGAAAGACTGCAGCCCTGATGCCTTCATTTCTGGAACCTTCTAGGCAAACTGCCTGCAATGGGAGTCTGTGGACTGGGGAGTGATCAGGGTGGGAAGGACTTGTAGCCCAGACTCCTCACCTTTTGCACTGAGGCATCAGCTGTTGCAGGAGTTCACAACTCCCTTCCCCTCCAAAGACCTGTGGCTTCCCTCTGCTGAGGGACGGTGCCATGGTGGGTCCAACTGATGCGCCAGCAAATGATGCAGAAAACTAGGCCAGATGTTGATTGCTAGAACGTGGAGCAGATGGGCTAGAGGCACTGCTAGCATTTTATATGAAAGTGAAAGTGCCACTTGGATTTTAATTTGAATTACAAGACATTAGGGGAAGAATATTGACTATGTTCCCTTTTAACAGTTTATTTACAAATGGGAAGCTGTTTTTAATGGGATTCAAATTGATTTAGATAGAAAAATATAGAGAAATTACAAAAGAAAGGTGATACAGTGGCATTACTTTAAACTGCATTTCACAAAATGAAATAATTTGGAACATGCCATTAAATATATGGACATGGTAGTAAATGAAATCAAATCATGTAGTGAGCAAAAAGGTTATTCCCTTTTTAATCATCTTTGAGTCATTCTGATGATGAAGAAAGACATGCTTATTTGGGGGCTGTTACATCTGTAACTAGTTCCTGACATTAGGGTTTCTATCCTTTAGGAAAGAGAAAACATGTCTTAGGCATAGAGCACTGGATTGCATAGAGCTAGAAGTTAATAACTATTTTCATCTTAAAATTTTTTAAACTTATTTTGTATTTATGACATATACTAGCTCTTCATTAGTGTTAGTGACTTGGTTTTGTGGTTTTTTTCTAAAACAAATTTAGTGAAGTAAGAACATGAGGCAAAAAATTGCATGAAGTACATAACTGTATAGTTGGTATGAAGCCAAAGGAAGGAATGCAGAAGAGGTATGAGAATGACCAAAATCTAGGAATATCTTAACAGATTTCAAACTAAAGAAAAGCAGGGCACCCTGTTTATGTCACTTTCTTCTACATTCTTTTTCCGGACTTGACTTTAATGCCACACTTTATCCTACTGTCTACCCATCTAGAAAAGCTTCCCCATTTTCATCTAGCTGAATCCTACTTATTTTTCAAAACTCTACCTCTTATTGCATGAAATATCCTTCAACTGACTTGCTTAGGAATGACCACTATAAATTAATTCTTGGTATTTGTTGTGTCTATATATTAAACATGGACACTTCTAATATACTACTTTTTGTATTTAAACTACCTTTTGTTGTTATTGTTTAGTCAGTAAGTAGTCTCTGACTCTTTTGTGACCACATGGACTGTAGCCTGCCAGGTTCCTCTGTCTATGGGATTTTCCAGGCAAGAATACTGGAATGGGTTGTCATTTCCTTCTCCCAAAACCACATTTACATACAAATATCCTGCATAAAAACTTAACAAGACAGAACAATATGTCTCATTGCTCTCTGAATTGCCCTCACATTCCCCAGAGCCTATGATGATGTAGTAGTATAAAGTAGTAGGTGCCTACTAAGTATTTGTCATGCGACTGTCCAACTCACTGTTAGAGAAGTCTCTTATTTGCTCTATGCATAGAAAGACTATTCAATCATTTCACACGTGTCTTCACACTCTTACCATATGTCAGCAAACTCAGGCCTTCCAATCCCATTCCCTTTTCTAGGAACTCATGGTCCAGTGGGAAGTGAGGCACATAGATCGGGCAACTTCTGCTACAACAGCTAAGGACTGCAGAGTCAGGGTGAGGAAGCAGCTTCCCTCTGACACAGGGAATCAAGGGAAGCTTTGAGAGAGAGGAAATACTTGAAATTTGCCTTGAAGCATGTATAGAGGGGCTCAGCAGGAGAGGATGGTTGGAAGGCTGGCTAGGAGGTGTTATAATGGAGGAGGGAGTGGCATTCCAGGCAGAGAGGAGTCAAAGCACAAAGGCTTAGTGTCATAGTAGGGTCAAGGCTATTTTCACTTAATAAATGTCATAAATATTTAGGAGATATTTATATGTAACAGATGGTAGCTGGATAAATCCTTTTAATGCTCTATAATGATACAGATGGGCTTCCCTGGTAGCTCAGCTGGGAAAGAATCCACCTGCAATGCAGGAGACCTTGGTTCAATTCCTGGATTGGGAAGATCCCCTGGAGAAAAGAATGGCAACCCACTCTAGTATTCTTGCCTGGAAAATCCCATGGACAGAGGAGCCTGGCCAGCTACAGTCCATGGGTGTGCAAAGAGTCAGACATAACTGAGTGAGCCCTACTATTCTAATGATACAGATAAGTTAGCATTCATTATCCAGGTTTTTGCAACTGGCAAAAAGGAGAGCTAAGCAATTTTTTTAAGTGTTCTCTCTTTAGATAGCTTTTATTGAATAGGGAAATAGTTTAACAGCACATTTTTTGATCAACTATTATGTTTCTTTCCACTTTGAGTGTTGGATCAAATGCAGTTCATTTTAATATGGTCAAATAAGTTTCATTTCCTTCTTTATGCACATGCTGTAATTTAGTTTGGCTTCTCAGATAGAAGAAATTCTCTATTTAATTCTCCCCCTCTCTCTATCTGTATATGTACATAAGCTTGTATGCTTGTGTGCTAAGTCACTTCAGTTGTGTCTGACTCTGTGTGACCCTATGCACTACAGCCCACCAGGCCCCTCTGTCCATGGGGATTCTCCACGCAAGAATACTAGAGTCGGTTGCCATCCCCTTCTCCAGGGGATCTTCTCAACACAGGGATTGAACCCACGTGTCTTATGTTTCCTGCGTTAGTAGACAGATTTTTACCACTAGCGCCACCTGGGAAGCCCCATATGTATGTATGCCTGTACCTATTTTTAAACTCACCTTATTTTATGAAAAGTTGACAATAAATTACGTAACATCATGGTCTTAAAAAACAATGCAGCTTAAAAATCAAATGCATAATGAAGAGCCATGGTAAAAATCAGTATTGACAAGACAGAAACTAATACTGGGATAAAATCATCAGTAGGGGAGAAACCTGAGAGCAGATATCTCCTGGCAGTTTGTAGCAACTGGCTGGCCTCTCTGATTAGAACCTAAAGAGGCCCATAATTTAGGTCCATGAGGAATATTCTGGAACAACTCTGCAGTCAAGGCTACATGATGATTAAGTGGGTGTGTGGGATGTGAGAAACAAGGGAAGTCCTACTGAGGCGTGCTTCTGTCACTGTGGCCAGTGATGGGTGATGGTGACAACTGAAGAGCAGGTATCCGTGTCATCCAGAGGCGCAGCGACAAGGGAGAAGGAGCTCAAACTGGGCTCTAATCCTACTGTCGATGTGGGATAGTTCTCTCATCCTTCAGTCACCCTGTCAACGTTCCACTCTGGAGAAACCCCACAGATGCACTGCCATGTTTGTATTTGGCTAACATGTTGCCTGGAGGCAGGAAAGGCAGACTCCAAGAAGAAAGTCAGCTTGCTTTTAAAGATACTTTGTAATACTTGGAATAAAAGACCCATGCCTGAGAAGCCAGATTTGCAAGAAATCTGGAATATACTGAAACTTGGGAGGCCTCTGCACAGAGTCCCCTTTATAGGTCCATGCTTCCCACCCTGGGCTGTTGTGGTGGTGTCTTGTGGCTGACCCAGCACACCCCTCCCACTGCAGAGAAGCCGTAGCATTGTATTGCAATGTTTCAGTGGGAACAGGGGCTGAATTGTGTCACGATTCATGGGGTGGCAAAGAGTCAGACATGACTGAGCGACTGAACTGAACTGAAAATCTAAAGACCCAAAGAACACTTGAAGGCGGTTAACTGTGGTTTTCAGGCCCGTGAGGAAACAAGTACCTGCGATGGTGATTACAGCAGAGGGGAGTGGATGTTCTCTAGCATGAACTTTCCTGAAGACAGGCTGGCCTAGCAAAAGGACAGGCAAAAGTCAGCAGAATGGATGGTACTGGTTTGTCAGCAGAGCTCTGTGGAATTAG